CTGGCAGCAACAGTCCCAATCTGCAGACCTAGAAACTGGGCTGTATAAACGAGAGAGTTGCTATATGTACTAGGAAAAGCTGGCTTGAAACTCAACATTCAAAAAACTAAGATCATGGCATCTGGTCCCATCACTTCAAGGCCAACAGATGGGGTAACAATGGAAACAGTGAGAGACTTTATTTTCTTGGGCTCCAAAATCACTGCAGATGGTGACTGCAGCCATGAAATTAAAAGACACTTGCTCCCTGGAAGAAAAACTATGACAAACCTAGACAGGATATTAAAAAGCAGAGACATTACTTTACCAACAAAGACCCATCTAGTCAAGGCTATGGTTTTTCTAGTAGTCATGTATGGATGCGAGAGGTGGACCATAGAGAAAGCTGAGCAACCAAAGAATTGATGCTTTTGAACTGTGGTGTTGGAGAAGACTCTTGAGCGTGACTTTGACAGCAATGAGATCAAACCAATCAATCAAATCCCCTTAAAGGAAATCAGTCCTGAATATTTCATTGGAAAGTATGATGCTGAAGCTGAAACTCCAATACTTTGGCCAACTGATGTGAAGAACTGACTCATTCAAAAAGACCCTGATGCTGGGAAAGATTGAAGGCAGGAGGAGAAGGGGACAACAGAGGATGAGACAGTTGGATGGCATCACCAACTCCATGGACATGAGTTTGAGTAAACTCCGGGAGCTGGTGATGGACAGGGAGGCCTGGCATGCTGCAGTCCATGGGGTCGCAAAGAGTGGGACATGACTGAGCAACTGAACTGAACTGAATACGTACTAGGCATAGCAGTGGAGCCTTTTGTTTACAAAGATGTTTTTTAAGAACCAGTTAAATGCAGAGAATAATGTCTGCCTTTGGGGACATGGAAGAAACTGCATGGAAGAAAAGGATGCATTCCACAGGTGCAAAGAGTCTCCTGGGCTAGAAGCTTCTACCCTTAAAGATTAAACTTTGAGATAACTCATCCGCTCTTTACGTATGGTTTACTGTTGATCAGACAGAATAAACAACCAAGTCAAAAGAAGTTGATTAAAACAAACTTATGAAACTAACGTTAAAACTCACTGCTAAATAAGGCATCACCAACTCAATGGACATGAGTTTAAGCAAACTCTGGGAGACAGAGAAGGACAGGAAAGCCTGGCGTGCTCATGGGGTCACAGAGAGGGACATGACTTGGCGACCAAACAACAGCAACTATAAAATAAAGGAGACTTAAAAGACAATTTAGTAAAAGGAATATACATTTTAATTTATAACAGCTCTGGCAGGACAACTCTGGGAGACAGAATTTCTAAAAACCTTGAAGGAAATGATTCAATGTAACAGAGAATCACTTATAGAGGGCAATGAAGAATGTAGCAAATAGTCGCTTTATAGACATAAATCACCAAATATCATTAAATTATAAAGTATATTTTTAAAAGCATCCTGATTGTTAAGGATTAATGCTACTTTGGAACACATATTTTCAATGTAGTAACTGTCTTTAGTCATTAAATATATCTAAGAATGTTGAGTTCCACACATTGAACACACTTACACTGAAATACAAGGACAAGACAAGACTTTATAAGGTCTTTGCAGAATTAGGAAATTTGCCAGATATCCCCAAATTAGCATGCTATCATCTACAGATTCAATCAAGAGCTTGTACTCACAGAGAAGCAGTGTGGGGTGTTGAAAGCAGTATGTGAGTATGCCCAAGAGGCTTAACTTCTGAGTCACAGATCTATATAAAAGGCATGATAATGTCTATCCATTAGGGCTAAAAGATACTTTTTAATGTATGTAAAATACCTCAATAAATAAATGGTAGCGAATTGCAGCACTAGTGAGAGTACTCCCCTAGAATCTATATGGTTTCTTAAGACTGGATCCAATCCTTTCAGTGCCTATGTATCGGGATAAATTCTTTTGGAAATCTTCAACCATAGGAACTTGAAAAGATAGATCTTTTAAGACAGAAGATCCTGAAAGGCAGAAAATCAAGAAGTGGAACTTCCAAAAACCAAGTCTTATTTAAGTAGGATTTTGAGGACTGGAAACTCCAATGATCGTCTCTACTATTTCAGAATAAAATCTCTGGGAGGGGTCTGAAGGCCAATCATTTCTGAATGATTTGCTGACTTAGTAAGTCATGTTCCTCAAACACCTCACCACCTTGCTTTTCTTTCTTTACCATCATTTTGCTTAGGATACTCCTTTTCTTCTGTCAATCAGTTGAAATAGGCCGCATCCAAAGTAATGAAAAACACAGGATGCTAGTTTACAATAATTCATTGGCTTTGTAAACAACCTACATTGCCCTTAAGGTCAAGTTTTGAGTTTCATTGAAAATCAGAGATTTGCAACTTACTTTAATGCTATTCCTGTATCACTGAACTTGTAAAGAAATTCATTTCAAATGAGCAAAGTCCTCACTACTACAAGAACTGGAAAGAATATAAAATTGAATGCCGATGAAAAGAGTATGAAATGTAAAGTCTATCCTCCAAGTTTGGATTATGGCTACAACTGCATCAATATTCATCTGTAGGAAGACATTATTCGAATCTAGATGGTTTCTAAAGTGTCTTCCAATTTTAATGCCATATGACTCGATTATTTCTATGTAGGTGAATCATAGAAATTAAATTAACATAGCATGATTAAATAAGGCAATTTGTGAGCGAGGCTGCCCTAAGCCTACTCTCTCTGTGGCTAAAGGTATTTCTTAGAATACTGAGCTAAAAATGTAACTGCATTCTGCAACCAATGCAAACGTTGTAATTGATGGGAGGGGAAAAAAATTCAACCCAGAGTGCCAACAATTCCTCTGTGAGCTAGCGTGGCAGAGAGAGTGTGGGGTCAGTGAAGCATCAAGTTACAGACTAAATTAAAGGTCTGGAGAAGAGTGACAGGGTCTAATCATCCAGTGTCTGAGGTTGCCAGAATTGGATCTACCACCCTCACTCGCTCACAAAGAATTGCTCAGCGGATGCTAAGCGCATAGACTAAGGGCTTCAAACATCTTTCATTAAAAAGGCCTTCAGTTCCAAATAGCTCTTTATGGAATTATTTCCTTGAAGTTTTCAGTTCTGTCATATTAAAATTGGCATGAAAAAGTAATCAAAACCTAATGCTTACAGTGCTCTGCCACAAAGAAAAATATTGTGGGTTTTCATTCCTATTAAAAACATGTGTTACATATATATACATAATTATGTAAGTCCCAGACCCCATGTACACACAAATACACAAAAACCATAGGAAAATAATAATAGCTTTCCCCAAGCCAACAGATTTTATAACACAATGTTGTACTCTGTCCATAACTCCCCTCATGAAGCCAATGCTTTAAGAATGTCAGTGGGTAATGAATATTTCTGCATATTTTGTGTCATAAGCTGCAAACACGAGATATACCGGAAGGAATTAAGGTCACTGTTAAAACTCAAACACAGCATCTTCTGGACTTGGTTGGCTAAATTGTGTGTATCTGCACTATTTTTCCTAGGGGAAAGTTAATTTTAGAAAGGAGAAAGAAAAAGTTTGCCAGGAAAGCAATCCCATTGGCTCAATACCTAGACAGTGACTCTGAAAGTTCAAAATGCTTTACAGACAGTCGCCTACTTGTCCTTAATATCCTTGAAAGCAAGTATCAAATACTATTCCTGTTTCATAACAAGCATCTTATGTCATAAAATGTTATATGATTTATCATTATGCCTACTTCGTGATGTTTGAAAAAAATTAGTCCTTCACCTCAAATTTCCATAAGACAAATGCAAATCTTTATTTTCCCTAGCAGTTACACTCAGAGTTTGTTAGGTACTTAGAATGATTCAGGTATACATATACATGAAAAGCAGCAGGTGAACATCAATGACACAGTTTGACACAGTTTGCAAACTCAAATACAATTCAATTTACACTCTTAACCAAGTCAGGGTAGAAGAGCTTAGTTGAAATAAAGAAGAATGCAGACAAGAGCTAAATCAATTTATATGATAATTCCTCTTTTAGTTCCTAAAGATATGTTCATTTGGGTGTTTAACCTTAAAACAACCAACAAGTAAAACTGCCAGTGGTGACTGAAAGTCAGCCAGTGCAAGCACAATGAAAGAAGCTTTTCTGATTCCCAGGAGAATAGGCCTCGGTCCTCTCTAATTGCCAGAGTACTTGGAAGCAGTCCTTACATTTTAAAAGTTGATGTGTAAAAGCTAACTCTTTAACAAGGGCTCTTATAAGTGCAGTATTTCTCTCTATCCTACATCTGAATTTCAAAGGAACTGTTTACCCTCTTTTCTCAAAATTTGCCGTCTTAAAACCAATGACACGCACCAAACTCATCAGTTTGAAGGGAACCAGCTTTCACTCCGTTTAAACTCCCTGTTCACTCTACGATTTTCAGCTGATGTTTACCAACAGCTGGGTGCCCACTCTCCTTCTCATAAGGACCTGATAGATATTTTCAGGTAATTACGAGAGAGAGCGCATCGTAATCACCTGGAATTTTTTTTTTCTTCAATACACGAAAGACTGTTCGCACACGCACACACCTTGCCATTTCTTAATCAGGCTCTCAGCATCCGAGTAGGAGCTATTATTTTAAACTATGATAAAGTTCTAGCGCCGCAATCACCCAGAACCTCCTGTAAACTTATCACAGTGTTTCATTTTCAGGAAAAACAAAAATAAAACCAAGGCACCTCAATCCCTGTTTGGTGCAGATACAAAAGATAAGACAGCTACCTTGACCAGGGGTTAATATCCTCCCAAAGTTAGGATAGTAATAAAAGTGGGGGAGGGTATGTGTTGGAAGGAGAAGAGTTGTGATCTCAGCCTGGAAATGACCAGACTCCGGGGAAAATCGGTGCGCCGGTGCTTGCGACACACACCTGGGCAGGGTGTACGACACCTCCCTCCCCCACCCCGCCCCGTCGCCCCTCTCTCCCGGGGCCGGGGGCGCGGGGTTTCGGAGCTGCCCGGCGGGGGGGGAATGGGAGGTAAAGAGAGGAGGGAGGACAGAGAAGAGGCGGGGGTCCGCGAGGGTCCGCGTCCCAGCGGGACGACCGCCCGAGGCTCAGCCCGGCGCCTAGGGGGCCGGGGAGGGGGCGAGGGAGTAGGGGATGACAGCTGGGCAGGCCGAGCAGGCACCTGGTCCGGGGCGAGGGCAGCACCCCGCGTCCTTCCTTACCGTGCTCGCGAGGTCGGCGCCCCGGGCGGGGAGACCCCGAAGGGCCGGGCGCGGGCGCAGGCCCGCGGAGATCCGCTGTCAGCTTCCCCAGGCGGCAGCTCCAGGTACCGGAGGCGCTCGGATCTCCAGGCTACCAGCCCCTGCGCGCGGCTCGAGGCCCCTCCCGCGGCCCTTGCCCTGATGCTGCCTCCCCAACCCCTCCCGCCCGCCTCGGCGCGCTCCCCTTCTCCCCCTGCTGTTTATTCCGGAGAGCTGGGGCCCCTCTCCCGAGCCTTGCCTCCCCCGCGCGTGCACGCACACACCTCCCCCAGAAACGAGCTCTCCTTAGGAAGCAGGCAGCGAACGCGATCCTTGAAATACTGGAGCTGGGCGATTTCAGAAAAAAAAAACCCAAAAAACCCTTTTATCTGAGGTTCAAAGCAGGAATCACTTCCATTCATCCCCTGCCTCCGTCCTCATTTGTTCTAATCGCGGCATCTCTCGACATTTGATTGCGCTCTGAGACTCTCCTGCCAGTCAGTCAAATTTTTCCAGAATAGCTCTTTCCATTTCATTGTTTTTAAAATGTAGACGTCCCCAACAGTTACACTTAGGTTGCCAGAACTTTCGATTGGCCCCGAGAAGGATACGTTCAGCTGTGCAAATCGGGACAGATCTCTTTTGCTAGTATTATCGATACCTACCACCAAGTCAGGGCAAGAGCAATTAATTTCACTTGACTTTGGGTAGTGAGTGTGCCTGGGGCCTCCGTTCTCAAGAGTGATGCAGTCCTGAAGTTCTGGGGAGGAGCAGACGTAAGCATTAAAAGAGAAATCTGGTGACAAATGAACGAGCAAAAAGCAGAGCATACTGAGCAATACTATGAAAGATGAGAGTGATGGAAAGGAGTTGTGAAACATCGCTGTATCACTAACAGGAAAGCTCTCCGAGTGACATATCCCTACTGGCAATGTAGAAGGCGAGTTGTTCAGTCTCCCAGTCGTGTCCGACTTTCTGCGAACCCATGGACTGCAGCAGTCAGGCCTCTCTGTCTCTCATCATCTCCCAAAGTTTGCCCAAGTTCAAGTCCAGTGCATCAGTGATGCCATCCAGCCATCTCATCCTCTCAGTGGTGAGTTGTTAAATGGCATTTATTTGTTCCTTTATGTGTCAATGTATCTATATGGAGTAGGTTAGGGTGTAGCATTATTCATAGTCAGGTTGTAATTGAATGGTGATGGTGATTGGTGGTTTAGTTGCTAAATTATGTCTGACTCTTGTGATCCCATGGTCTGTAACCTGCCAGGCTCCTCTGTCCATGGGATTTTCCAGGCATGAATACTGGAGTGGGTTGCCATATCCTTCTCCAGGGGATCTTCCTGACCCAGGGATAGAAGCTGCGTTTCTTGCAATGCAGAGTTCTTTACTGGTCAGCCATTAGGGAAGCCCATAATTTAAGGGTAGTAGACATCACCAGATGGTCAACACCGAAATCTGATTGATTATATTCTTTGCAGCCAAAGATGGAGACGCTCTATACAGTCAGCAAAAACAAGACCGGGAGCTGACTTTGGTTCAGATCATGAACTCCTTATTGCCAAATTCAGACTTAAATTGAAGAAAGTAGGGGAAACCATTAGACCATTCAGGTATGACCTAAATCAAATCCCTTATGATTATACAGTGGAACTGAGAAATAGATTTAAGGGACTAGATTTGATCGACAGAGAGCCTGATGAGCTATGGACGGAGATTCGTGACATTGTACAGGAGGCAGGGATCAAGACCATCCCCATGGAAAAGAAATGCAAAAAAGCAAAATGGCTGTCTGAGGAGGCCTTACAAATAGCTGTGAAAAGAAGAGAAGCGAAAAGCAAAGGAGAAAAGGAAAGATATTCCTATTTGAATGCAGAGTTCCAAAGAATAGCAAGGAGAGATAAGAAAGCCTTCCTCGCAATCAATGCAAAGAAATAGAGGAAAACAACAGAATGGGAAAGACTAGAGATCTCTTCAAGAAAATTAGATACCAAGGGAATATTTCATGAAAAGATGGGCTCGATAAAGGACAGAAATGGTATGGACCTAACAGAAGCAGAAGATATTAAGAAGAGGTAGCAAGAATACACAGAAGAACTGTACAAAAAAGATCTTCACGACCCAGATAACCACGATGGTGTGATCACTCACCTAGAGCCAGATATCCTAGAATGTGAAGTCAAGTGGGCCTTAGGAAGCATCACTACGAACAAAGCTAGTGGAGGTGAAGGAATTCGTTGAGCTATTTCAAATCCTGAAAGATGATGCTGTGAAAGTGCTGCACTCAATATGCCAGCAATTTGGAAAACTCAGCAGTGGCCACAGGACTGGAAAAGGTCAGTTTTCATTCCAATCCCAAAGAAAGGCAATGCCAAAGAATGCTCAAACTATTGCACAATTGCACTCATCTCACACTCTAGTAAAATAATCCTCAAAATTCTCCAAGCCAGGCTGCAGCAATACATGAACCGTGAACTTCCAGATGTTCAAGCTGGTTTTAGAAAAGGCAGAGGAACCAGAGATCAAATTGCCAACATCCGCTGGATCATCAAAAAAGCAAGAGAGTTCCAGTGAAGGAGGAAACAGACAGAGCTGGGCTCCATCTTAGGCCAGGCTTCGAACATTAGGCTACACACATGGCCACCCTCCCAATGGACTCTGAACTTTGTGCCCGGTGTCTATAGAAATGGCATACCAATGGAAAACCAGACTCCCGATAAAAGAGCCTCAGGACTTGTACTTGGACTCTCTGTTACCTAAAAGAATATGCTAATTATCTCTGTAACAGAACAAAATGGTAAATTCCTTTATGTTTATTGGGATATGACCACCAGCCTATTGATAAATATCCACTGTTTATCTAGTCTTGTGACACATGAATCATGGGTTACCTTTGATCATATCTTTCTTTTCCATTGTCCAGACTAGTTTCAAGGAATCTGGGGAGGTGGGTTTGAGAAAGTACACTTAGGGTATATAAGGTTTTCACAAAAACTGGTTGGAGTCCTTGGCTAAGAGGATACTCTGCCTTGGGTCCGCCGGTGTAATAAACTGTATTCCACTATCTGTATTGTCCTTCTGAGTGAGTTTGTTTCCCGGAACGCATGGCTACAACACAAGAAAAACATCTATTTCTGCTTTATTAACTATGATAAAGCCTTTGACTGTGTGGCTCACAATAAACTGTGGAAAATTCTGAAAGAGATGGGAATACCAGACCATCTGACCTTCCTCTTGAGAAACCTATATGCAGGTCAGGAAGCAGCAGTTAGAACTGGGCATAGAACTACAGACTGGTTCCAAATAGGAAAAGGAGTACGTCAAGGCTGTATATTGTCACATTGCTTATTTAACTTAGATGCAGAGTACATCATGAGAAGCGCTGGGCTGGAAGAAGCATAGGCTGGAATCAAGATTGCCGGGAGAAATATCAATAACCTCAGATATGCAGATGACACCACCCTTGTGGCAGAAAGTGAAGAGGAACTAAAAAGCTTCTTGATAAAAGTGAAAGAGGAGAGTGAAAAAGTTGGCTTAAAGCTCAACATTCAGAAAAACTAAGATCATGGCATCTGGTCCCATCACTTCATGGCAAATAGATGGGGAAACAGTGGAAACAGTGTCAGACTCTATTTTTTTGGGCTCCAAAATCACTGCAGATGGTGATTGCAGCCATGAAATTAAAAGACGCTCACTCCTTGGGAGGAAAGATATGACCAACCTAGATAGCATATTAAAAAGCAGAGACTTTACTTTGCCAACAAAGTTCCATCTAGTCAAGGCTGTGGTTTTTCCAGTGGTCATGTATGGATGTGAGAGTTGGACTGTGAAGAAAGCTGAGCACCAAAAAATTGATGCTTTTGAACTCTGGTGTTGGAGAAGACTCTTGAGAGTCCCTTGGACTGCAAGGAGATCCAACCAGTCCATCCTAAAGGAGATCAGTCCTGGGTGTTCATTGGAAGGACTGATGCTGAAGCTGAAACTCCAATAGTTTGGCCACCTCATGGGAAGAGTTGACTCATTGGAAAAGACCCTGATGCTGGGAGGGATTGGGGGCAGGAGGAGAAGGGGATGACAGAGGATGAGATGGTTGGATGGCATCACTGACTCGATGGACATGAGTTTGAGTAAACTCTGCAAGTTGGTGATGGACAGGGATTCCTGGCCTGCTGCAGTCCATGGGGTTGCAAAGAGTCAGACATGACTGAGCGACTGAACTGAGGATTTATTTCTAGGGACCCTGGTGGCTCAGATGGTAAAGAATCTGCCTGCAGTGCAGGAGACCCCGGTCGGATCCCTGAGTGGGGAAGATCATTTGGGTTTTTCAATAAGATGTTGCAGAAAAAACCAAATGAACTTTTGGGCCAACCGAATAACTTGAGAAGCAACCAGTTCATAACAGAGCTCTGGAAAATGCAGATGCCTACTAATAGACTCTAAGTGAATCCTGTCTTTCCTAAATTTATCAGGTAGCTTTCTAATCTAAGGACTGAAGGAAAAAAAAAAGGATACTCATTAGCATTGTGGGAGCTTTCTGTTGTGCAGGAGGCCAGTGTCAGAAAATAAACTCTTTAAACAGGTTGTTGCAAATGAAAGGACCCCCTCAGGTAAGAGAGGAAGAGGGGGAGAGGAGGTTATAGAAGAGGTAACAAATAAGGTAACATCCTTTATCTCAGCAAGCTGCATAGAGGGAGAGCCAAGCAGACAGGCTTTTCAAAGTAGATGCTCTGGGACTTCCCTGGTGTCCCAGGAGCTAAGACTCCCTGCTCCCAATTCCGGGGGGTGGGAGAAGGGAGGGGTGCGGAGTTCGATCTTAGGTCAGGGAACCAGATTCCCACATGCCAACAAAGAGTTTGCTTGCCGCAACTAAGATCCGGTGCAGTCAAATAAAGGAATGAATAAATAGAACATCCTCTCATGGAGGCTGGCACTCAGAGAGAGTGTTAGGTAGACGTGAAGCCCAGGGGAGGCAGAGGAGAAAGAGTTTGTGGGGGTAAGGGGGGTGGTGGTAAGCGTAGAGAAAACCAAAATAAGGAAAACTTAGTAATTCAGAGAATTTAAAGAAGCTCATTGATTTTGGCTGGAAGATTGCTTCCTAGGGGCAGGAGTGGGAGTGTTTAGGAGGAAGAATGGAGAGACAGCTAGAGAGGTAAGCAGATCGTGCAGAATCTTCTAGGCCATGCTTGAAAATTGCACTATATTCCACAAACAATAGAGAGGCACTGGAAAGACAATGACAAGATCAGATTTTTGCTTAAGAAAGACTACTTGCTGCAGGCAGGAAAAAAAAAAATGAGGACAGGAGGTAGGAATGAGAGAAAACAGGGAGAAGAGCTTTAGAAAGGGCACCTGGTCAATGAATGTATTGTTGCGTTAGTCACCCAGTCCTGTCGGAC